GTCATCAATGTGCTCAGCCATTTCGCGCACCTGCCTTTATCTTAGTGTCCATTGATGTAGTTGAAGTTTCCACAGTAGTAATTCTTCCTTCCACCTCATCAACACGCTTGACCACCTTCTGTAGTTTGGCTGAATGGCCTGCTTTTGCTTCCAAGACCGTTCCTATCTTGACATCAATCACTTTAGTAATGTTGTCAGTAATCTTTTGGATCACCAGATCCATTGTGCATGGATCCGCAACGGTGTAGGCTTCGCTAACGTTAGTTAGCTCATCCTGCACATCTACAGGGGTGGTGGTTTTGGTCGAGTTCTTGGCAGTTCTACTGGGCATGTTGTCGGAAACTTTTGAGAAGACGTCAAGACTCATTATAGGGTAACTTATTTAGCTAATTCTACCACTTTTTCAAGCTAAGAAATTAATATAAAGAGAGAAATTAACGAATGCCACGGGAGTTCGCTGAAACACAGTGTTTACTCTAGGGCGCCATTTTGTCTCCTGGGGTCTTTTTTAATATCAGGAATATTTCACTTTCTCTGAATTTGTGCATGAAGCAGAAATAATGCGATGCGACTCGAGTTTCGCCATCAGCTGGAAGACGGTGTCCCTTTTTGGTCAGTGTCAGTGGAGGAAAGGGAAAGTGTAGGGATGTTGAGAGGTAGACCCTCAGTCTGCTGCTCTCTCCCTCCGCTGAGACTGGCCATCAGATGCAGGCACCATCAGCCCAGTAAAATAAAAATAAAAAGCTAATTATTTAAATGTATGTTCACTCAGCTGTGCTTCACAAGTAATACAACAACGGATCTACTACCGGTGTGATCATATAGCCTACCTCAAATTTTTTAATATATACATTTTTTAATGGCCCGAACAACAATGCATTGGCAGGGCAATTGCTGGCTGGAGTCTTTGACAATTTGTTGGGCCTTCCTCTGACACCGCCTGGTATTGAGGTCCTAGCTGGTAGGGAGCTCGGCCCCAGCGATGTACTGGTCCATACTCACCACCCTCTGTAGCGCCTTGCGGTTGGTTGCCTTACAGTTGCCGTACCAAGTTGTGATGCAGTCAGTCAAGATGCTCTCAATGGTGCAGACTTTTTGAGGATCTGAGGGCCCATGCCAAGTCTTTTCAGCCTCATAAGGGGGAGATGTGCTGTCTTCACAACTGTGTGAGTGTGTGTGGACCATGTTAATTCCTTAGTGATGTGTTCACCGAGGAACTTGAAGTTCTCGATCTGCTCCACTACAACCCCATCAATGTGGATGGGGGCGTGCTCGCCTCTCCGTTTCCTGTGGTCCACTATCAGCTCCTTTGTCTTGCTGGCATTGAGGTGTTCAGTCCCAGGGTCCTGAGCTTGGTGATGAGCTTGGAGGGGACTATGGTGTTGAATGCTGAGCTGTAGTCAATGAACATCATTCTTACATTGGTATACCTTTTGTCCAGGTGGGTGAGGGCAGTGTTTAGTGCAATAGAGATTGCATCATCTGTGGGTCTGTTGGTGCGGTATGCAAATTGGAGTGGGTCCAGGGTGCCTGGGATGATATTATGCCATTTAGCAGACGCTTTTATCCAAAGCGACATGTGCGCATGCAATGAATAATTGCATTATTGTTTTCAAGTGAGTACAACATTCAACTCTAGGCTGCAGTGGAAACGTCATTGGAATAACAGCGCAAAAGCCCTGTGATTTGAATGTTTCATTCCATTTGGATCAGTTGTGGGTCTACTCTCGACTGTTGATAAGGTTTAGAAAGGCACAGTAGCATGCCAGTCTGGCAGTTTTTTTACCTGTCATACTGCGGTGCACTGTCTGTTGCGAATAATCATTCCCCCAAGTCATCCTATAAAGATGTGGCCACATATGCTCCCGGCAGGCCCAGTTATTCAGGAAAGCTTAATGCAAGCTTAATGCCTCGCGCACCTAGAACCTAAAGCTTCAATTTAGTCCAAATATTTGTCATTTAACTTTTAAAATGTATTACCTTTTATATGTGGCATAAACACAACCAGTCACAATGCTTTAATCTGATTAGGCTACTTCAAAAGTCTCCTGTAGGAAAATATAATTCCAGCATCCTCAATATTAGGGCGGCAGGTAGCTTAGTGGGTAAGAGCGTTGTGCCAGTAACCGAAAGGTCGCTGGTTCTAATCCCCGAGCCGACTAGGTGAAAAATCTGTCGATGTGCCCTTGAGCAAGGCACTTAACCCTAATTGCTCCTGTAAGTCGCTCTGGATAAGAGCGTCTGCTAAATAAATAAATAAATAAAAAAATAATATTAACCAGGTTTCCATCCAAACTTTTTATGCGAGTAAAATACATGTTGGATAAAAATTTAGACAAAACAAAACACACTAGACAAGGTGGGATCTGTTTGTGTGTGTAAAATGTATGCGAGAAATGGCAGTGGAAACTCTTTTAATGCGCAAATATTGATTTAATAACCATCATATTGAAGTAAACTTGGGAGTCACACGAGAATATGTTGTGTGGTCTCCCACTACAACTTTGGAAAGCATGAAGATAAAATAAATGATGAGGAACTTCACAGGGTGGTGAAAGTGCAAGGTGATAAGCTTGATGCTCCTTTCAATAAATAGCAAGGGTCTTACTCTGGTGACAATATGATGATCGATGTTCGGCTGCCATTTGACAAATAAAAATAATTTCACACTTTTGTCCATAATAATCTTATGTAGGCTATACCCGGAATGTATCTGCGAGCTGTTGGCTAGAGCGCATGTGCCAACACCAGAGTGGGCACATTCGCTATACCTATGCAACATTTTTAGTGACAAAACAATCAGTAGGCCTAGAGTTGAAAATGCGATGGAAACCCATTTAAATAGTTTTTTTTTCTTTTTTTTTTTTCGGTACATGGGAATTGAACCACAACATTTATTTGAATGTCCACTATGTGTTTATGCACAACTTATCCGCAACAAGTCAATTAGATAGAAACACAACTCTGATGGGAAAATGCGCATATTGTTTTTATGCAGATTTTTGAATATTTGCATGAAAATCTTTCCCCAATTGGATGGAAACCTAGCTATAGACACCCTAGACTCTGGCAAGTGCACTAGTCCAGTGGCACTTTGATTATGCCTGGGCATCATGGTTCACCAGCAGCCCGAAACATCTAAGCTACAGATCAGCCAAAACAAGCTTGTAAGAATTGTACTTAAACTCCGCCCTCATACTCATCTGGAGGTTGAGCATTTTAAGCAGCTAGGCTAGCTATCTGTGAATTTGTTTTATTTTATTAATTCTACTTGGTCTGGTCCACAGAATTACCACGGACTCAGCCCCCATGTACCACATTTTTCATTTGTTAGAGATGTCCACCAGCATAATACCAGAGCCGGAGACTCTAATGTTCACTGTTTTAAATATAAAAGTCTATCTGGTAAGAACAAATTTGTATATACCTGTGTTATTGCAACAAACTACCACAGCAACTCAAAGCCATACCAACCATAACCACTTTAAAAAATAATGTAAAAAGCTGGCTAATGTGTCAAAAGTATAACCTTTTTTGTCTCTATGTAATTGTATATGTAGTTATGTTAAAAATAGTGACCACAATGGAAATAAGTCCCCGACATTATCGTGCAATCCCGGTCGCTTTTAAAAATCTTTGTACTGTGTCTGTATGCATTTTATTTTTTTACTGCCAAATAAAATCTATAAATTAATCCAAACTGTGCAACAGCCATTTGATGAATGGAAAGAGACATCTGTTACAAAACACCAAAAAGTTTAATGACATTTGGAGATTGTCAAGCCAAGTCTTCGATACTGGGTAGACTGGGTAGGCCTACAAGGTAGGGAGGGATTTATTTTCTGTTTGTCGAGATTAATAAAAAATGCATGAGCTGGCGCACACCCAGAGAAAATGATTTAGTGTAGAAGTGCTGACTAACGGGGAATAAACTGTAAACTATAAAAACAAAGAGTCGCACACTCCATGTGTATAACCTCCCAGTAATTTATGGGGTAAAAAACCACCAACGTTTCGGCATCACTGTGCCTTCTTCATCTGATTGGCGAGATTGACATAGTCTATTTATTGTGATGTTGAAAACGCAAACCATGATATTGAAACGCCCGAAGTCGGTATGCTTTGTTTATTGGTTGTGTGGTGCATTAGCACAGAAACCTGTCGGTGGAAAATTCGCATATATTTGATATAATTATAGCATCAAAATGTTGAAAATCTGATTCCCCTAGCTGATCATTGTCTGCAGCCGGCTCTGATCATAGTGTAAGCCCTAATGAAACAGGCAGGGAGAGTAAGCTCATCCATGGTGGTGGGCGAACCCTCAACCTTCTGGCCCATAGCCCTGTAGCATCGTGCCACAAAAGCATACTGAATTGGCAAAGTCGATATCCACGTTTATAAACACAGGGTCACTACAGTTATAGTTATTTGTGGACTTAAACATTATTTTGAGTTAATTCTATGAGTGGGGAGGGTGTGCAATGTTTTTCTACAGTACAAGGGGAGGGTCATGTGAAAAGATTTTTACTTTGAGGAGGGGGGTGCATTTTCTTTATGACACCACCCCACCCCCCAGTACATTTCAAACTGTCCCTTAGTTTATCAAATAATTTCCAAAATAATCTTGACAGTCCTTTTGTAACGTAATACAGTATATCCTAGACAATCCAGTCTTGATTAAACAGAGTCTACTAGCTGATGTAGTGAGTCTTAAAAAGTCCTTGGCAGTTTCAACATAACATTTCAATCCTTAAAGGGGCAATCTGGGAGTGGCACATACATTTTTGGTCAATAAATTAATGATATATAGCAATTGATTATTGAAAAATATAACTTAAACGCCTCATGAGCTTAGTTCAACTGCCTAACCCCATCAGAACCCAAAATAGAATTGTAAACAAACACTGTACAGCTTCAAAAAAAAAAAAAAAAAAGACTACAACTTTAATTTTGATCTAATGGATGGTATGTCCTTGCATCCATAGATCGGTCTATGAATTTGAGAATGGTTACATTTCTCCAGCACCATCCCTCAGCTGTTTACCTAAGTAATTGCAGGGTTAGCCACTTTGTTGTTGTTTGAGTCCCAGATTGCCTCTTTAAATGGAGTGTACCCCATATACTGATATATCACTGTGCAAACCCTTTCTTATTTTTTCAGTATGTACAGTAGGAAATTACAAAACCAATTTCATTGTTTAAAAGTTTGAGTGGTAATTCCTATTTGCAACTATCTTTTAAAAAATGCCATCTTGTGGTTTCCAATGCTTCAAATGTTAGCAGTGGTTTGCCCAAAGTTTGGTGGGCTGACAACTGCAGAGGAAAGCTGAATGAAAACTGTAAGAATGTTCCTGAAAGGATGCTAAAATCTTGGAGTGGGGAACATAAGTCCTAAGGCTCTATGGTCTCAGTGCTGGAAAGGGGAGAGAAGTCAGGGGCCAGGAGATATTGCATGACAAGCCTTGGAAGTATCCTTAAAGCCAGCAGGATCAGGCAGGATCAGGCATGCAGGAGCTGGTAGCCACTTCGCCTGCCACTTTTACATGTGATCACGCACACACTGAGCATCCCGAAAAACTGAAAGGAAAGGACAAAGAAATGCAGTAAAATTCAGTACAGAGTAAATTGTCTGGCACCAAAGATTAAAGTAGGTTCACGCATCTCTAAAAAAGTCCCACTATCCCCATTCTGGCCCCAAGACTTTCACAGACCAATACCATTTTTTTGTGGGGGGAGGGGGGGGTGGCCTCAGAGGTGGAAACACAAAAGCATGCAGCTTTAGGCCAAACACCGGTGCAAAGTCTGATATTGGAAATGTTAAGTCAGAGGACTGCCAGGTACAGTACCTTGATGATGGCAAATCCAAGGATGACCAGCATGGCATAACTCATCACATCCTGAAGGAGCTGTTCCAGCTTACCCTCACAACCCTGGACACACACACACACACAAACAAGTTCAAGTCAGAGTGTAAGGACTATCAAATATAAATACAGAAAAAAGGTAGGAATAAGACAGACTATCAAAAACGGATCTAAATCCAGTCATGCTTTTTATTTTTGTAAAGTAAGGTTTTGGGGAGGGCAAACTGATCCTAGATCTCTGCCTAAAGGCTACGTCTCCCCAGCGAGTTTAGTTAGCTTAAGAGGTGGCATTAGTTAGATGTTTACTGCATTGATCCATACCCGGGTATTGAGCAGGTCTAGCTGGTCCAGTCTGCCTGTACACTCAGTGTTGTTCCCTTTACAACAGGAGATGGGCACAGTGTTGTTCCTGCTGCTGAACCAGGGGGTGGTGGTCCAGTTCAGGTAGGTCTGCACTCCACAACACTGCAACTGTATACAGAGAGAAGAACAACGTTTGGTAGTTTCATTTCATAGCGACTTCATGTGGTTCATGTGTAGGCCTATTTATAGGTCCTAAATCAGCTCCAAGCTTGCAAAAGCCTAGTTTCCTGTATCATGTAATCTTTGCGCAAGCCAATGATTTATACAGTAGGCACTGTTTTAAAGCCACTGCACCTCCATTTTAGTACTCCCCCACCATTGTAAAAAAGCTATAAAATACATTTATTAATGTCTACATTCGTTTTTGCCACATTTATTTTATTACAGGCACCTTAATGCATACTTTTAAATTATATTATGAGAGCTAAACATACAAATATATATTTTAAAAACATTTTCCATAAAGTATCATTTTTAGAGTGTACTAGTGTTACTGTCAACAACAAAAAATACTTAAATACATGTAAATTAGTCCTTGAGACGTTTAATTGAAATACAGTAGAATTCCATTAATTCCTAGCAGGTCTTGCCCTGGAGGCAGAACTCAGAGGTTTCCACTAGATGGGCCAGCTGCAAATTCAAAATTGTAAGGTTAGGCATTAGGGTTAGCAGTGTGGTTAAGGTTAGGTTTAAAATCAGATGTTATGACTGTGGCTGTGCCAGCTAGTGACCACTCTGCAGAGCTGCCTCGAGTACATGAGTCATCTCAATAAATGCCAACCTGCTTATACTTATGGAGGACTGCCCCTTCTGAGGAGTACCAATACAGCCGACCTGTGTCTTCAAAGCCTCTCATTAGCCAATACATAGATAGCATCAGCAATCTAGTGTATACATTATTGGTGCCAACCAGTGCTTGCTAGCGCCAGAGAGGTTTTAAAATCGAGAGACTGAACACGTGATTTCTTCCTGTAACGCCCGCAACAAAGACTCTGACCACCATCAATGGCCTATTTACAGGAAGTAATCGCACATTCAGAATCTCGGTTTCAAACCTAGTAAGCCCCTGCTCGCTCAGAGATGGCATGATACTGACCTGAGACTGCAAGTAATCCACAGCCCGGGTGTCAGAGTTCTCACCATCATACTTCATGAACACATCACTCATTGACCGCTCCAAGTCCCCTTTTATCTGTAAAGATGAGGCATACAAAACAAAATAAATCTACGTCTATTCAAATATTGCACTGATACTCTACTACACATGTAATGCACCTGCACAAATTGAATACGTAGTATATTATTTCATTGTAACCTATTAGACAAATGTGGAATTCACTCACCCTGCTTTGGTAGATGAACCCAAACACTAGAGCAGCGACCTCTGCTGCAAAGATAGCCAGGATGATCAGCAGGAACTGGAAAGAGAGGGAAAGACAATAGTCAGCAAGGAGAAGGAGAACAAGGGGCGCAGCAGCAGGACTTACCAAACACTAAGATCCTCAGACCGTACAGTGTATCAGGGTTGGGGGTCAATTCTATTCAATTCCAGTCAATTCCTAAAGTAAACAAAATTACAATGTAAAAGTATTCTCATTGAAGAGAATTGGAATTTCAGCATACTTCCTGAATTGACTGGAATTGTAATAGAATTGACCCCAACCCTGCAGTGAATGCCTCCCAAATGGCACCCTATTCCCTATGTAGGACATAGGGTGCCATTTGGGACACACAACCAGTGTTCTTATGACAGACCTAGCTGGCTGCGCCACCAGTCTCTCCTTTCACCATCACCCACCAGCCACCACCACCGTGTCTTAAGCTTATACTCACAAAGCTAAGGCCCACTTTGGATTCTCTCAGGGTGGCGCAGCAGCCCACAATCCCGATGACGAACATCACCACTCCCACAGCTATGATGATGGCTGCAGGGATCAGCGTGTACTTATCCTCCAGGAAGTTGTCAAAGTTGTTGTAGCTCTTGATCACATAAGAGCCTACATAGGCAAGGGCACCCCCCGCAGCCTAGAATGAAGAACACAACAACATGAGCACTTTATACAGATAATCAAGGCTGTGTTGCCTATTCTCCACACTTTGCCCAAATTGTGCACGTGCATAGGATTGGTATAAGCATTGGCTAAAGGGAGTTTCCACCATTGTTAAATCCATTTCAGAAAGTACGCAAGTGCACACTTTAGGAGAAGGGTGGAAAATTGGGATGCATCATGGGTGAGGCCAACTCATACAATTGCAGTATTGTCCTATGAATTGCAGTGTATATAATCAATTCCCTGGTCTTATAGAACTAATCTCTGTAAAATCATTGAAAACGTGATTATTGCACATGGTTTCGAAAGAGAGAGATTTGTCAAAAACAAGTTTGGATGATAACGTGAAGGGATTCAGAATGCCATTCGTAACTGCCTTTAGCAGTTCTCCTTCCCTTTCTTTCTCTCAACGCCACTGGAGGTTTATTCAGAGTTTAAATTAATATTTCATCCAAATTACATATTGGTTTCCTTACCCTGTAAGGAAGTGGGCTCCCGAGTGGAGCAGCAGTCTAAGGCACTGCATCTCAGTGCTAGAGGCATAACTACAGACCCTGGTTCGATTCCAGGCTGTACCACAATCCGGCCGTGATTGGGAGTCCCATAGGGCGGCGCACAATTGGCCCAGCGTCGTCCGGATTTGGCTGGGGTAGGCCGTCATTGTAAATAAGAATTTGTTCTTAACTGACTTGCCCAGTTAAATAATAAAAAATAAGGACAAGGTAAGACAGGAATCCATGCTTTGGTTTTGTTCACCTGACTACTGTCTCCAAATGCTAACCTTTTAGCATTTATGGCACAAAAACCAATGCATGTGGATATTCCTGATATTAGAATAAGGAAACCAATATGTAATTTAGTAATTTGGGTGAACAATCCTTTTAAGTTGGTCATGCTTTTATGTCATGATGATACAGACACAAGGGTGCTGGCCAAATGCATTGATCAGGTGGTGAGCTGCTCATTGCCTAATAATCCTTTCGATTCGAGGCTCCAGAGCACATGACCCGGTTCTCTCACAATGAGTCCTCAGTCACGAGATCCACCACCAGCCCACCCCGAGTGGAACACCCCCCCTCCTAATCATTCCAGGAACTTGGATCTTGTGCCTCATGAGTGAGAAAATAAAAAGAGCCCCAAAAAACAGACTGTTGGTTTCGATTTCTTGTTATTTTGTTAATTTTTTTGTCAACGTCCAACTAGCATTCGACCAGATTACCTCCTGTATTGGCTGCATTTCCTGATTTAGAAATTGTATAGAATTACATTTGAACAACAGAGCATATGTTCAGAGAGAGAGAGAAAATATATGTGGCTTTGACCACAAACAGACCTATGTTTATTTCCCCTGGTGAATACACAGACAGGGTTGTAACTCTTTTCCAATTCCTTCTTATTTCAAATTTGTTTGTCATTTTTTCTAACACACAGGCCCATTTTTTTCCTTGAGGCCCCCATACCGGTCAATTTTTTTCCTTGAAGCATCATTATTAGCCAAATAAATGGTAATTCTTCATTAAAATAACAAATACAATTTAGACAGGCCCACTTGGCTAAAGATGGACCTGCCCATCTGGCATTTGCCAGAACTCCCCTAGCTAGTCCATCCCTGGATTAATCTCCAATTGACAAATGTGGTGTTGGTGGTGTCACTTTTATGTGCATTTTTGATCAACCTCGTCTCAAAGGATTTCGTAATATTCTGTACATAAATCAGGACACTCCATTTAGTATGGTATGTATTAATTTGTGGATGTCTATCACCCATTTCATTTGATTTTACGAATTACAATTCACATTTTATGTTACACATTTGCAAAACGTACAATATGTTTCCGCATTTGCAAAACGTACTATATGCAAAACTGACTATATGTTATGAATTCTAGCTAAGTGGCTAACGTTTGCTAGCTGGTTAACATTAGCTAGGCTAGGGGTTCATTTTAGGAGTTAGGTTAAAGGTTAGGGTTAGCGTTAGGGTTAGCTAACATGCTAAGTAGTTGTAAAGTTGCTCATTAGCTAAAATGCTAAAGTTGTCCGTGATGAGATTAGAACTCACAGCCTTTGGGTTGCTAGACGTTTCCGTTATATACACCCACCCATCAACCAACTACCCTACTATCGTTTTTGCCTTAAGTAACCATCTGTCTTATGTATCCATACCAAATGTAACATATCATACTAATTTGGCTGTCCCGGATATAAATGTCCTACGTCTAGTCTTTGAGACCACGCTGTATGCACATGGAAGTAGGTCCACTTCAGAGACGTTTGAGAATGAGTGTACTGCGAGTAAGGTGATGTTGAAATTTAAGCATAAATACAAACCAAGAACAATGATTCCTGCCTCTAACCTTTTGGTAATGTTCAATAAGTCACGAACATTATTTATCACGATTTGAAATCGATATTAGAAACCGTACAGGCTATAACAATCAACAACCTACCATGCCCATTGCCCAACCAGTAGTTTCATTTCATCAACAACTGCTCACCATAGACGAAGTTAGGTAGCTGTTAAGAGCAGTGGAAAGAAGTCAACACAGAAATCAAAGGAGCAACAGAATGTCGACCAAACACTTACCCAAAATATTAAACTTAGAAGCAAAAGGACTGTTTTGGATGTAATAATTCCGCAATCCATGTTGATATGGTGGTGGGAGCTGGTCGTCAAATGCGATCGTGTTGGTCTCTGTTCTGATTATAAGTGGGTTCTGACTGCTTTGCTTTGAGCATGACTGGCTTTCTGACTGGCTTTCTGACACACGATCACATGCTTGTAGAAGAGCATACCAGGCACAGTTCATGTATGGGTCCTAATGCCGACCCTTTACAATTGTATTGCTCCATGGCTACGTTTTTTTTTTTTTTTTTTTTTTTTTTTTTTTATTTAACCTTTATTTAACCAGGTAAACCAGTTGAGAACAAGTTCTCATTTACAACTGCGACCTGGCCAAGATAAAGCAAAGCAGTGCGATAAAAACAACAACACAGAGTTACATATGGGGTAAAACAAAACAAAGTCAAAAATACAACAGAAATACATATAATATACAGTGTGTGCAAATTTAGCAAGTTATGGAGGTAAGGCAATAAAATAGGCTATAGTGCAAAATAATTACAATTAGTATTAACACTGGAATGATAGATGTGCAAGAGATGATGTGCAAATAGAGATACTGGGGTACAAATGAGCAAAATAAATAACAATATAGGGATGAGGTAGTTGGGCGGGCTAATTTCAGATGGGCTGTGTACAGGTGCAGTGATCGGTAAGGTGCTCTGACAACTGATGCTTAAAGTTAGTGAGGGAGATAAGTGTCTCCAGCTTCAGAGATTTTTGCAATTTGTTCCAGTCATTGGCAGCAGAGAACTGGAAGGAATTGCGGCCAAAGGAGGTGTTGGCTTTGGGGATGACCAGTGAGATATACCCGCTGGAGCGCAGACTACGGGTGGGTGTTGCTATGGTGACCAATGAGCTAAGATAAGGCGGGGATTTGCCTAGCAGTGATTTATAGATGGCCTGGAGCCAGTGGGTTTGGCGACGAATATGTAGTGAGGACCAGCCAACAAGAGCGTACAGGTCACAGTGGTGGGTATTATATGGGGCTTTGGAGACAAAACGGATGGCACTGTGATAGACTACATCCAATTTGCTGAGTAGAGTGTTGGAGGCTATTTTGTAAATGACATCGCCGAAGTCAAGGATCGGTAGGATAGTCAGTTTTACGAGGGCATGTTTGGCAGCATGAGTGAAGGAGGCTTTGTTGCGAAATAGGAAACCGATTCTAGATTTAACTTTGGATTGGAGATTCTTAATGTGAGTCTGGAAGGAGAGTTTACAGTCTAACCAGACACCTAGATATTTGTAGTTGTCCACATACTCTAGGTCAGACCCGTCGAGAGTAGTGATTCTAGTCGGGTGGGCGGGTGCAAGCAGCGTTCGGTTGAAGAGCATGCATTTAGTTTTACTAGTGTTTAAGAGCAGTTGGAGGCTACTGAAGGAGTGTTGTATGGAATTGAAGCTCGTTTGGAGGTTTGTTAACACAGTGTCCAATGAAGGGCCAGATGTATACAAAATGGTGTCGTCTGCGTAGAGGTGGATCTGAGAGTCACCAGAAGCAAGAGCGACGTCATTGATATACACAGAGAAAAGAGTCGGCCCAAGAATTGAACCCTGTGGCACCCCCATAGAGACTGCCATAGGTCCAGACAACAGGCCCTCCGATTTGACACATTGAACTCTATCTGAGAAGTAGTTGGTGAACCAGGCGAGGCAGTCATTTGAGAAACCAAGGCTATTTAGTCTGCCAATAAGAATGCGGTGGTTGACAGAGTCGAAAGCCTTGGCCAGGTCAATGAAAACGGCTGCACAGTACTGTCTATTATCGATCGCGGTTATAATATCGTTTAGGACCTTGAGCGTGGCTGAAGTGCACCCATGACCAGCTCGGAAACCGGATTGCATAGCGGAGAAGGTACGGTGGGATTCGAAATGGTCGGTGATCTGTTTGTTGACTTGGCTTTCAAAAACTTTTGAAAGGCAGGGCAGGATGGATATGGGTCTGTAACAGTTTGGATCTAGAGTGTCACCCCCTTTGAAGAGGGGGATGACCGCGGCAGCTTTCCAATCTCTGGGGATCTCAGACGTTACGAAAGAGAGGTTGAACAGGCTAGTAATAGGGGTTGCGACAATTTCGGCGGCTAGTTTTAGAAAGAAAGGGTCCAGATTGTCTAGCCCAGATGATTTGTAGGGGTCCAGATTTTGCAGCTCTTTTAGAACATCAACGTTTAGACAGGCAGCCCCAATTCTGATCTTTCTTCCACTAATTGGTATTTTATCATATCACATCTTTTCACATCAGATCTTTTTCAGAGCTGGTCTAATTGGTCGAAAGATCAATCAGTTAAAAATAAGATCCCTAAGAAAATGTGTGTAATTTATTGGGGATTTATTAGGGACTGTGTTATGAAGCGTTATCAAAGTGGCTAAGTCTCTATAGAAAGTCTTTATAGAAACAAACACTTTATGTCTCTGATCTGATTAACTACTCTTTTGACTCATGATGATGTATATTCAGGTAGTCTCGTTTCACAGCCACTGTACCTTCTAATATTCAGGTAATAGCCTTCTAATATTCAGGTAATAGCCTATGTGAGAATAGCCTGACTTCAGGTGATAAGCCCACTGGCACTCATTAAGTTTACAGTAATTTCAGTCAGTTGTATTCTATTTGCACTGTAGTTACTTGCATTCATTTCATTTTGATCCTCATCTAAAATCAAACACATTGTAATTACTTAAAGGAAAAAGAGACGGACACCAGATATGCAGGGCACAGGTTTATTCCTAAACTGGGCTATTGTTCAGGCCACAGCCCACGCCGCTAAATTCCGAACATACACAAATACACAATGTAAAGTTAAGTGGCAGACTCATAGGAGCAACCTTTCCGTCTGTCCTGGCATATTAACCCTTGCTCGCACCCATGAGAACAATAACACACCCACGAACACAGAACACAATACCGGGTCGTTACAATATATTCCATGCAAATTATTGTTTGTTGTCCAGATTATGGTTCGTTTTAAACGTTTAAACTACATCCTTTGCAACGATTTCCCTAATAATTATGTATACATGGACACGTCTGATAAATGCAGAAAATCGCCAATCAAAAGAAACGTTCTACCAAAGCGACCATGTTATTTTTGTGAAGACTATTTGATTCTGAGTTCGGACATATCAAGTTTGTAAGTGAAAACTATTTCCGACCTCACTTCACTCCACAAAAGAAGCGCGCTGCTCGTGCAAGCACATGCGCAGATCAAATACACCTCTGTAACTGATAAAGGCATTTACGTGTCCTAATAATTCGAAAGATTGCGCAGAAAACCAGGTGATTTAATCGGTGTATGACCTTATGCCGATTAAGATAAGAATAATAAGCTGTTTACATGACTAATGCCAGACTCGGCCTACTGTCATAATCAGTTTAATATTGAATTATTAATGTGCATGCCTCTCTCGACCAGTTCTTATGCAGCGTTCAAAACATTTAAATTTACATTTTAGTCATTTAGCAGACGCTCTTATCCAGAGCGACTTACAGTTAGTGAATACATCTTGTTTTTATACTGGCCCCCCGTGGGAATCGAACCCACAACCCTGGCGTTGCAAACGCCATGTTCTATCAACTGAGCTACATCCCTGCCGGCCATTCCCTCCCCTACCCTGGACGACGCTGGGCCAATTGTGCGCCGCCCATGAGTCTCCCGGTCGCGGCCGGCTGCGACAGAGCCTGGATTCGAACCAGGATCTCTAGTGGCACAGTTAGCACTGCGATGCAGTGCCTTAAAAATCTCCGACTTCCAAGCTTTCAAAACAACTGTGAACTCGTGGGAAAAAATCGTTTTGAACGATCATCCAACTCGGAATTCCAACTCGGGAGCTCGGGCCGGTTTCTATAGCTCCGACTTTTCGACCTGAAGATCACTGACGTCATGATTTGACCTCGTATTTTCCGAGTCCCGGGTTGTTTTAAACGCAGCAACTCTCTAGATGTGACGTCACTCCCTGCAAAGTACGCACGCGAGTGCCTTCTAGTCATGCTCCTGGTGCATGCCCGGACCAGTTCTCAGTCATGGTTAAGTAGTGAAGAAGTTTTCGTCGCTCCTGGCTGTAGTACATTACGGTGTTCCTATTCATGTGTTACTGTGTTCCTATTAATGTGTTACTACTGCCACCTAGTGGTGATTTAGTTTAAGCCTTTTATCAAATCAAATTGTATTTGTCACATGCGCCGAATACAACAGGTGAAGACCTCACCGTGAAATGCTTACTTACAAGCCCTTAACCAACAATGCAGTTCAAGAAATAGAGTTAAGAATATATTTTCTAAATAAAGGGGGGTACCGGTACCGGGTCAATGCGCGGGGATACAGGTTATTTTATGTGTAATAATGTGTTATAGTGATGCCCTTATACAGTGAGGGAAAAAAGTATTTGATACCCTGCTGATTTTGTACGTCACATGATCAGTCTATAATTTTAATGGTAGGTTTATTTGAACAGTGAGAGACAGAATAACAACCAAAAAATCCTGAAAAACGCGTGTCAAAAATGTTATAAATTGATTTGCATTTTAATGAGGGAAATAAGTATTTGACCCCTCTGCAAAACATGACTTAGTACTTGGTGGCAAAACCCTTGTTGGCAATCACAGAGGTCAGACGTTTCTTGTAGTTGGCCACCAGGTTTGCACACATCTCAGGAGGGATTTTGTCCCACTCCTCTTTGCAGAGCTTCTCCAAATCATTAAGGTTTCGAGGCTGACGTTTGGCAACTCGAACCTTCAGCTCCCTCCACAGATTTTCTATGGTATTAAGGTCTGGAGACTGGCTAGGCCACTCCAGGACCTTAATGTGCTTCTTCTTGAGCCACTCCTTTGTTGCCTTGGCCGTGTGTTTTGGGTCATTGTCATGCTGGAATACCCATCCACGACCCATTTTCAATGCCCTGGCTGAGGGAAGGAGGTTCTCACCCAAGATTTGACGGTACATGGCCCCGTCCATCGTCCCTTTGATGCGGTGAAGTTGTCCTGTCCCTTTTGCAGAAAAACACACCCAAAGCATAATGTTTCCACCTCCATGTTTGACGGTGGGGATGGTGTTCTTGGGGTCATAGGCAGCATTCCTCCTCCTCCAAACACGGCGAGTTGAGTTGATGCCAAAGAGCTCGATTTTGGTCTCATCTGACCATAACACTTTCAC